AAAAAAAAAATATTATTGTAGAAAGAATATCCATTCTTTTTTGATCTTTTTGACTCCATTGGTGCCTTATTTTCTTCCTTCTATTTCGGCTTTTTTGGGGTGATAAGTCATATTATAGTAAAGTTAAACAATAGGTTAACAATAAACTAGTGTTTATCACGTGATTGCAATGCACGGACTTTTTTTAACTTTATTTAAATATGATTATTTATATTTAAACATTTAATTATTGGTTTCCTAATATGATTTTTAATAATCAATTATCATGCAAATAAAATAACTAATCAATTGACATAATTAATTACTATGAAAAATAAGCAACTAGTTGACTATCATGCATATTACACATGACATCCCATAAATAAATATTATAAATATCACATAAATAATACGCAACTCTTTTAAATAAATATGATGCATATTAAATAATTAGTAGTAATAAACATGAAAATAAATAATTCAACTATTGTGGGCATTAATAACAATCCAAAAAAATATGAAAACTGACAATACAGTCCATATTAGAACTGTTTTTCTTCCAGTCGAGGACTTCTCACCTGTCACATGTTACATGTACGTAAATTCTCCGGGCGAAAAAAATGCGCAGCTTCCTTGCCAAAAATCTCGTTCGTTACTGATCAATCTCGTCTGAAAGAAAAAGTCTAGTCATAAGAACGTGCAGCCGGAGAAATTGTGTGTGATTGATTTAGTTAGGAAATAAATCTATTTTATTAACAACCAAAATAAAGAGATTTCATTACGTGAGATTGATATAATTAATTAAATTTTAAACTTAAATATCATCTAAATGCGGGATTTTTCAATTTTTTTTGAAAATATTTCCAAAAATAATTAAGGTTCCACATAACATCAGAGATGTAAAGAACTTTGAAAAAAGTATGAATATTTAAACTTAAGAGTTTAATATTTATTTAGTTATTATTATTAATTTATCTATATATATATATATTTTTAAGCATGATATGTAATCATAAAGGTTTTAGTAAAAATTATCTATTTTATTTTTTAATTTATTGAGTACAAAATAAAAATTGTGAAGGATTGACATATTATTTTTATTGTATTTACTTATACATAAATAAAAAATGTTGTAGGAATTAATGTTTGAAAACTTAACTACCTAATGAAATGTTTTATTTCAAAACAATGTAGATATTATAATAATATAATTTGTTTGCTACGTTTATGGTTTGTAATTATCCTATAATTTCAAATTCATTCTAATTGACCATAGTTTTCAGTATTCTCAGAAATTTTTAGATTATTTAAATTAAGGAGTACTTTGAATTTTTTTTTAGTTTAGTAAAGTGATTCCAAATTTTTGGAAAGGTTGATAAATATTTTTATTTTCATATAACAAATGTTAAGATCGAAAAAGGAAATATATTTCCAACAAATTAAGAAATTGAAATTTAAAGGTAAAAAAAAATAAAGAAAAAGACAGTAATATTGGAAAAGAAAAAAAATATAGGACAGAAAAAAAAATTGTCATACTTCTAGGAATAATTTGTAATAGATATTCGACAATTTTCTCGACTTAACATTGTTAATAGTTATAGATATCTAATTAAGGATATTAAAATCAAATCAAAACAATACCCACAAAAAAGAAAAAAAAAAAAAAAAGAAAGAAAGAAACAAAATTTAAATATGGACATCAAGATAAAATGTAATGCATATCTATCAAAAAATATAATTTATATCACTTGCAAGTATTCTGAAAAATAAATAAATAAATAAGTACCCCTTAATTTAAATAAGGAGTACGCCTTAATATAATTTATGTCACTTTTAAGAATTCAAGAAATCACTTTTAAGAATTCAAGAAATCATGAGCGGGAATTGCCCAAAAATTTCAAACAACAGTATTAAAAAAAAAATAAAAAATTGAGCGACAATTTGTTGAAGTGTGAAATCCTTGATTGAAGTTTGTACTGGGTATTATCATGCAAATATCTGTTTAGTGTTGCTCTTCTTTTATTAACTATGTCGCGTTTCTCTTGGACTCTTTTAGGGCGCGTTTTCTATTAGTTTTGGGTGCATTTTATTTTAGCCTCTTTAATAGGACACGTGTTGGCTTCTGGTAGGGCATTATGGATTGTAAGGGTATTAAACATGCTATACGTCTCTCTTATCATTTTGAGTTGAATTTACAGAGCTTTAAGCTCAAATGAAAATGGCGATTTAAGATCTATTCATCTTTTCTTCTTGTTTTTCGATCTATCACAAACAAAGCTCAGATTTACATGGTATCTAGAGCAGGTAGAAGATGGCGCACAATAACGAAATCGTTGGAAGGGGAATCTACACTCGCGATGTAGATCCACTCTCTCTTCATGGATCTGATAACCCTGGTTTGGTCCTGGTCACGAATCAACTCACAGGGGCAAATTATTTGCATTGGAGCCGCGCTATGAAACTTGCCCTTAGTGCGAAATCGAAGCTTGGATTTATCAATGGAGCAGTAGAGATTCCAGAAGCTGGCTCAGAGGAGTATAATCAGTACCAAAAGGTAGAATCCATGGTCATCTCTTGGTTGCTTAACTCCATTTCAAAAGATATCGTAGAATCTTTTACATATGTTAAAAATGCCAAAGAGCTGTGGGATGAGCTAGCTGAACGGTATGGTGAGAGCAATGGACCCTTGAGGTACCAATTGCAGAAGGAAATATCAAATTTCACTCAAGGAAATCTTACAGTCACTGCATATTTCACTAAGTTGAAGTGCCTGTGGGATGAATACTCTTGCCTAGTCTCTATACCTGACTGTGTTTGTGGATCTGGAAAGAAATTTTGTGAAGTTGACATGGAGATAAAGTTGATGCAGTTTCTTATGGGACTTAATGAAGCCTTTGAACCAGTGAAGAATCAAATACTATTGCTTGATCCATTACCTACCATAAATAGAGCTTATTCAATGATTTTGAAGGTAGAAAGACAGAAAAGTGTTGGTATAAAAATGTCCACTCAGCTGGAGTCTTCAGCCATGCTAGTTAGAGGAAGTTTTGGGAGAGGGAACACTGGCAGAACACAGGGTTTTGGAAGAGGAAGTGGTGGAAGGAACTTGGGATCACAGAACTTCAATAGTGGAAGAGGAAGAGGAGGCCCAAGATTGTCTAAGGAGGAAAGAGCAAAGCTCTTTTGTACACATTGTGGTTATAATGGACATGAAGTCCAAGGATGCTTCAAATTAAATGGCTATCCAGATTGGTTTAAAGAGCTGAGGGAGCAAAGACAAGCTCAAAGTGTGAATATGGCTGACAAGGATGACTCCTCAAAGGGTGATTCAGAAAGCAGATCTCAACACAGTGACACATTGCCTGACATAAGTTCCTTGATTCAAAAGGAGGTTGCTAAGTATATGGCTGGGCAGCATGAAGCAGAAACTAACACATATTCTCATTTTGTGGAATATTCAAGTGACAAAGAGGATTATGCATTTTCACTGGCTGGTAAACTTGACAAAAGTAGCTGGATTGTGGACACAGGAGCAAGTAAGCACATTTGCTGTGAGGCTGAGATGATGACAAAGAAAGTTACCTCCCAAGTTCCCATCATTGTGAATCTACCTGATGGAACCAGATTGAAGGTCACACAAGTTGGTGAGGTACAGTTCAATGATAGGATAATCCTCAAAGATGTATTGTTGATCCCAGAGTTTAAATACAATCTACTGTCAGTGGGTCAACTTGTGGAGAACAATGGGATGCATTTTGTGTTCACCAGTAAGAATTGCAAGTTGAGGGACACTAAAACTAATTCTGATGTGGCCTTTGGAAAGGCAGTGGCAGGTTTATATGTGATTGAGGCAAAGAAGGTCTTGATTAATGCTGCTGATGAAGAAAACTTACAGGATGAGGAATTGTTCTTATGGCATAGAAGGTTGGGTCATAGTTCTGTCCAATGTCTAAGGCACTTGCATTTTCTAGCAAACAAGTCTGAGACTCAATTGTTGAAGCCATGTGACATATGCCACAGATCAAAGCAAAGCAGGCTGCCCTTTCCACTTAGTCAGATACAAACTAAGCAGAAATTTGAATTAATTCATGTGGATGTTTGGGGACCACATCTTGAAGAATCAGTGCTGAATATATCTTACATGCTGACCATTGTTGATGATTTTACAAGGGCTACCTGGATTTATTTGATGAAGTACAAGAGTGAGACTCACAATCACCTGAAATCCTTCTTCAAAATGGCTGAGGTGCAATTTGGTGCTAAGGTGAAACAAATGAGGAGTGACAATGGCACTGAATTTGTAAATAAAGACATGGATGCTTTATTGAAGGACAATGGAATACTGCACCAAAGAACATGCCCCTACACTCCACAACAAAATGGAGTTGTAGAGAGGAAGCACAGGTCTATACTTGAAGTAGCAAGATCAATATCCTTTCAATCAAAACTGAGAAAGGAGCTTTGGCCTTATAGCCTACTTGCAGCTGTACAAATCATCAACACTCTGCCAAGTGTGAGGTTAAATTGGAAATGCCCCTATGAACTACTTCATGGAACTCAACCAGCTTACACAATGTTCAGAACTTTTGGATGTTTATGCTATGCAAAAAGGCTTGGGACATACAACAAGAAGTTTGATGAAAGAGCTGCAGCTTGTGTGTTCTTGGGTTATGTATCTGGTACTAAGGGATATAGAGTATACAATTTGGAAACAAAAGAAATTTTTATCAGCAGAGATGTGATATTCTATGAAACCAGGTTTCCATTTTCTCAAGAAGTGTCAACCAACACAGAACCAGCTGTGTCATTACCAATTATAGATGATGATGAGGATATAAGAGATGTGACACAAGAACACACTCAGAAGACACCAGAAGTAAACTCTGACAAAGAAACTCTCAGAAGGAGCAGTAGGTGCAAGAAACCTCCATCTTGGATGTCTGACTATGTAGTTGACTTGGCACAGGCTGAGGAGTTGAGCTTGTTCTTCTCTGAGGTAGACAAAACAGCCACAGAACCACTATATTATGAACAAACAATTGGTGATCAGAGATGGATAGATGCCATGCATAAAGAACTAGATGCACTGGAGTCTAATAATACATGGATTCTTACAAAACTCCCAGCAGGAAAAAAGGCCATAGGGTCTAAATGGGTGTACAAGATCAAGAGGAACCCAAATGGGACAATAGATAAATTCAAAGCAAGGTTGGTGGCAAAGGGTTTCTTGCAAAAGGAAGGGGTGGACTTCTTTGATAGCTTCTCACCTGTAGCTAAACTTGTGTCTGTAAGACTGCTCATTGCTCTTTCCACACAGCACAGATGGGAACTACACCACATTGATATAAACAATGCCTTCCTTCATGGATTTTTAGAAGAAGAAGTGTACATGTTGCCTCCAAAAGGGTATGTCAAAGCAAAATCCAATGAAGTCTGTCTGTTGAAAAGAAGCCTTTATGGTTTAAAGCAGGCCAGTAGGCAATGGAACATAGAGTTCTCAGACAAACTCTTGGCCTATGGTTTCACCCAATCTCCTCATGACCACTGCTTGTTCTACAAAGGGTCAGGTGCACAATTACTCATTCTACTTATTTATGTAGATGATGTCCTCATCACTGGTCATAGTTTAGCACAAATACAGCAACTCAAGGCTTTCCTCAATGATCTTTTTACCATCAAGGACCTTGGACAGGCTAAATACTTTTTGGGCCTAGAAATTCAGAAGACTACAGATGGAACCTTTCTGAGTCAAAGAAAATATGTGTTGGACATTATTGCTGATTTGGGATTGCAGGATTCTAAACCTACTGTGACACCTTTACCCCAAGGCATGAATCTCTCTTCAATTGATTCTCCACCATTGGATCATCCTGAAAATTATAGGAGGCTCATTGGTAGACTGCTCTACCTCAACTTATCAAGGGCAGACTTGTCTTATGGCATTCAACAACTTAGTCAATTCATACAAGCTCCTTCTCAAGCACACTGGAATGCAGCTCTTCACTTGGTGAAATATTTAAATGGCACACCAAATCTGGGACTTTACTACAAAGCTAGCCCTTCACAGTCTTTGGAGGCCTTTTCTGATGCTGATTGGGGTAGTTGTAACCTCACAAGAAAATCTCTCACTGGCTTCTGCATTTTCTTGGGGCAAGCCTTGATATCATGGAAGACAAAGAAGCAGAAAACCGTCTCTCGTTCATCGGCAGAAGCTGAGTATAGATCCATGGCTAGCACGGTCTGTGAACTCCAATGGCTTTCTTTTTTGGCCAATGATCTGTCACTTCCTATTCATACTCCTATACCTCTTTGGTGTGATAATCGTGCCGCTTTACACATCACGGCCAACCCGGTTTTCCATGAAAGAACAAAGCATCTAGACATCGATTGCCACGTGGT